AGAAGACTGTTGAAGCTTCTTGATTAGGAATGGCGAAGACTTCTGGCCACTTAATGAAGTAATACATCACAACCATGAAATATTTGTTACCGCTTTCACTCTCCAGAAACGGCCCCGCCACGTCAATGGCTATTCTCTCCCATGGTGCATCAACATTGTACAAATTCAATGCACCTCTACTACGAGTCTGAGGTCCCTTTACAGCCGCACAACTTGTATATTTGCGACACCAGTCCTCGACATCGTTTCGACAGTGGACCCAGTAAAACCATTCTCGGATCTTCAGTAGAGTTCGTTTAACTCCCAGATGGTCTCCTGAACAGTCATTATGGTACAGCTGTAGAACATCCGGTACTTTAGCTTTAGGGACAACCATTGGCAAATGACAGCTGTCTTGCCTAGTACAATGTTTGAAATCTTCAGGACAAGGTCTTCTTGACAATGCATCTGCGTTGCCATGAGATTTCCCGCTGCGATATTCGATTTCAAAGTCGTATTTCTGCAGTAGTTCAATCCACCTCGCAACTTGTCCTTCTGGATTTTTAAACTGCAATAGCCATTTTAGTGCAGCATGGTTAGTTCTTAAGTGAAATTTTCGCCCCAGAAGATATTTGCTGCAACGACTTTACCACAGCTAGCAATTAGCGTCTAGGGACACAATAGTTCCTTTCCGGTTTTGACAACGACTTGCTGAAGTACGCTATCACGACCTCTTGGTCCCCATTCCGTTGAGACAACACACCGCCAAGTCCTATATCACTTGCGTCTGTGTCAACTATAAATTCTTTGCTTGCATCAGGGTATCCCAAAATAGGTGTTTTGCACAGACGGTCCTTGAGCTCCTGGAATGCAATATTGCAACTTTCATCCCAGCAGAAATGTCGCTTCTCCTCGGTTAGCTTGTGCAGAGGTTTGGCTATATCTGCAAAGTTCTTCACAAATCGCCAGTAATAGGAGCACAAACCCAACAATGCTCTAACCTGCGTCTTGTCTTTTGGAACCGGCCAATCCTTGACAACGGTGATTTTCTCTGGATCCGTGCGGATACCTTCTTCCGATACTACATGCCCCAAAAAGTTGACTTGCCATTTGAATAGTGAACATTTGTTCAGACTCAACTTGAGGTTGGCACTCTGAACCTTCATAAGCATGCGTTCCAGGTTTTTAAGGTGTTCCTCAAACGTACGGCCCACGATGATTATGTCATCCAAGTAGACCAGACAGGCATCACCAATTAGCCCGATAAGTATGTAGCGGCGCCGTCGTCACGTCACAAACAAAATTACACAGAAGCCTAAATCGCGCTATCAACATTCCGAATCATTGAACAGTATATATAGAACTTCTCCGAACTATCACACGGAGTGTTGGCCGCTCCCCGGGCTGAACACCTTGCCCGGCGGTAGAACTCCCCTTTTCCTTCCACGGCCACAGTGTTGACCCCGACGTGATCTGAACACGCAACCAACAACCTTCGGAATTTTTTTTTTATAGAAGAAGGGGCAAACGAGCATGCGGCTCACCTGATGTTAAGTGACTACCGCCGCCCATGATCAACCGCAACACCAGGAGAATTGCGGGTGCGTTGCCGGCCCTTTAGAAAGGAGTAAGCTCTTTTCTTGAAGGTCCCCAGGTCGTATCGGTCCGGAAAAATCGCCGGTGGTAAACTATTCCACAGAGAGGTTGTACGTGGAAGAAAACTCCTTATGAAACGTACAGTGGTGGACCGCCAAGCATCCAGATGGTGTGAATGGTACTCAACTAACTAACTTCAAGCTCCATCATCGTCATAGAATACCCCACCCATTCGCTCCCGAGCAGATATCGTCTGCAGTCTTCATATCCTGCAAGCCATCTAGCTTCACAAGGTTCATCGCAGCACTGGAATAATAATGCTTCCCCTTCCTTCAAGCTACTCTCTGCGCTATACAGTGTTCGGCACGGCTCTGAGCCATACTGCTCGCCTCTGCTTCACGGCGCTCTCGCAAATTACTAGCCTTCTTCTCGACTCACCGCAGACTACAAGGCTCTTGGCATTTGCACATTCGTCGGCAACGAGGTTGAACTATCGACCTCCGGTCTGAGCAAGGGGGTGATGTAGCGGCGCTATCGTCGCGCCACAAGCGAAAATACACCGAAGCTTAAATCGCGCTATCAATATTCCGAATCATTGAACGGTATATATAGAACTTCTCCGAACTATCACACGGAGTGTTGGCCGCTCCCCGGGCTGAACACCTTGCCCGGCGGGAGAACTCCCCTTTTCCTTCCACGGCCACAAGTACAAACTCCATCAGCCTTTCAAATGTTGCTGGAGCATTGCACAATCCAAACGGCATTACTTTAAATTGCCACAGACCCTTTCCCGTCGAGAACGCAGTTTGGTCCTTGTCCTTAGGGTCAATTTCAACTTGCCAGTAGCCACTTTTTAGATCCACCGTGCTAAACCACTTTACTCCTGTAGGCATGTCCAGCGAGTCATCAATTCTTGGCAAGGGATAGCTGTCCTTCTTTGTAACGTCGTTCAGACGGCGGTAATCAACACAGAACCGCATGCTGCCATCCTTCTTCTTTACCAGCACCACGGGTAAACACCATGGACTAGATGAAGGTTCAATAACACCATCCTTTACCATTCCCTCAATCATGGTTTCCACTTCCTTTTCACGTGCTACCGGCAATCTTCTTGGCCGCTGACGGATAGGCAATTCTTCTCCTGTGTTTATTTTGTGTTGAACTAAGCCAGTCTTTCCTATGTCAGCATCGTTTAATGAGAATACATCGGCGTACTTGAGTAACAACTTCTTCGCCTTGACCAATTCGTTCGGGGAGAGAACGCTGCGACAGTCTCCCAAAAGTGTGGTAACTCTCGTTTCTAAATCCTTGCTGGGGGTCCCACTCGATAAATATTGGCACCGACGTAACCAATCCACTTCCTCACAAGTACCAACCAGTGTGCCTTTTTCTATAATCTGTTACTGGTCACAAAGGTATAGCACACGTACTCCAGAGATGTCAGTGGTTCTGACCAAGGTTAGAGCTACTTTCCATGGAAGGTCATTGTTTACCCTTTCCACGAGCACACAACGGTGAGCTTGCCCAGGCTTCCGAGGAAGACTAACTGGCACAATCGTTTCCGATCTCGGCGGAAGAACAATCTTCTTAATGCTGTACACGTTCCCTGGTAACGCACCTTCCATAAAAAGTTCCTTCTGTCCACATTTCAAAACACCTTGCTTAACGTCGATCTCACAACAATTATTCCTCATAAAGTCTTGGCCCAGGATGCAATCGTCCATTATATAAGCCACGATGACATTATGCAGGTAGATCATGTTGCCTAGCTTCAACTCCATCTCCTTCTCTCCACGGATGGGTATACGCTGACCGGTGGCTGTTACCATATTTATGCGTTCTCGGTTGTATGCGGAGTCCCTAAGGAACTTTATAAGTTGGGAACTAACAACCATGCGAGAGCTGGAGCCTATGGTCAGTTTACACGGCATTCCGTTGACCTCGCCCTTGATGATTAGGCTGTTCCCATCATGGGTTTGTGAGATCGAGATCCTTGGGGCTCTTTTAACATCAGCCAGCACCCGCCCCACAGTTCTGGCTTTTACTCGTTTCCCTGCTGCTGCCGGGCGGGGCTGTTAGCCACCACCACCCTCCTGATATCGTTCACCTTCCCTTTCTCGGGTTCGCTTCCGAGGGTAGCTGGATCGAAGATGGCCCCTTTCCCCAGGCATCTGCTCTTCCAACCAACGGGCCTGTTCCTCCTGTCGGCGGGCCTGTTCATCTTGTCCGCCCCGCAGCTGCTCTTCCAATCGACGGACCTGGTCCTTCTGTCGGCGAGCCTGTTCGTCTTGTCGGCGAGCCTGTTCCTCCTGCTGATCTTTCAACCAACGGCCTGTTCCTCCTGTCGGCGGCCCTGCTCCTCCTGTCGGCGAGCCTGCTCCTGCAGCATCACCATCAGAGCACCTAAGTCAGATGCTGCAGATGTAGGAGCTACTGACGGGTCTGCGGCCGGTGGCTGGCCCTCCGACGTCTGCGGCGTTGCACCACCAAATCGTCTCTGGTCCGTCTCCTGCTGGCGTTGACTTCGGGTACGGACACCATCCGTTTCCTACTTAAGTAAAATCGGCATGATTTTATCCCACTTCTGACACCAATTGTTACGAGCTTGAGGTTCGTGACGATAAAAACTGCCGATTGAATTACCAAAATTTACACTTTTATTACCGAACACCAATTAAAACTTAAAACACTAATAATTAATCACACTGATTCACTTTATTTCGCTCCGAAGCTTCGCTTGTCTCACCAAATTCAATACTGCCCCAATCGCGGCATGCAGCGGGTTTAAATACACTTTTACGCTGAAACATCCAGAATATTCCCGTAGATACGGGCGCCGACCGACCAGACGCAGAAAGTTCGAGTGTGAGGCTTCTAGAAAGCTTAGTTCTTCAATGCGATACTAGATGGCGCTGTTGGTTGAAAGATTAGTCATTAGTCAAGGCGCCGACCGCAATAGACCGAGCTGTATGTTTAATATGTAAGTATCTATGAAGTGTGTATACGTTTGTTGGCAGGCGTGGTAAGGCACAGTCCTGACGCAGCTTGGCGGTACATGTGTTATTAAAGTTGGCAGGCATATTAGTCACGATAAGGCTCCAAATGACGCACCGTAGCGGAGTGTGTGTTATGAAAGTTGTGGGGCGTAGTGTGCATAAGGCACCGATATGACGCAAAGTGGCGGAGCATGTGTCATTAAAGTTGTGAGACGTAGTGTGTATAAGGCATCGATCTGACGCAGCGTGGCGAAGCGTGTGTTATTAAAGTTGTGAGGCGTAGTGTGTATAAGGTACCAAATTTGTCAGCATGGCGGAGCGTGTGTTATTAAAGTTGTGAGGCGTAATGTGTATAAGGCACCGATCTGACTCAGCGTGGCGAAGAATGTGTTATTAAAGTTGTGAGGCGTAGCGGGTATAAGAGCTGACCTGACGGAGCGCGGAGCGGCGCGCGCGGCGCCCGAGTCAGAGGCGCGGCGCGGCTCCGGGGGCGGCGGCACCGCGCGCGCGCCCTCAGAGCGCCGCCGCGCCTCCGCCGCTCCATGCGCGCCGCACACCTGCAGCCGTCGCGGGCTCTCCGATATCGTGCGCGCGCGCTGCCGCACAAAATTTCACATTACACTTTTTATAGTGTGACAAACCAGCACACAGTCCACTTGATTGTAAGTGGATGCTGCGGCCCATACACATCTACATCGATTCTAAATTAAGTATCAAAATCCGATGTATTGTTATCCCTAAAGACTAAGATCGTTCCTCGTTCCTAGTAAAAACGGTCTCCAGTTCTCTACACTCACCATTCAAAACACAGCAGCAATAAGCAGATATTTCACGCAACTTATTCTGTAAATAAATCTGGAGAAAAAGACTCCGGAATGGCTAATCGCTCAGAGAATGGCGAGCCAGATCAGCTTCCAAATTTCTAAGAACTAAAATGAATAAATTAATTTTCACATTAATAGCTTCAGAAATCTACACTTCATCACTTATTTTTCCACACACACTTTTTATTCATATTTACGTGAAACCCTTAAAATACAACCTAAGAATTGATTGAAAGTAAAGTTTTTTGAATCTAATGTATATGAAAAATAAGTATTCACCTCTGAAAATCTTTGCGATATTTTGAAGTTTTCATTAGGTTTAGGTTTATTTTTCTCCTGTTCCTCTTCCTTGTACTTGATGTCTTCGTCGCTCTGACTAACCAGCTCGATACTCTCGTCCTTCATAAGGGCCGCTGCAGTGTCGTTGTCTTTAGTTGGTGGTGATTTGTTGTCACTTTTTGATAAAGTGTTATCAGGGCTTGTTTTCTTCGGGCTGCCCACTAGCGTTACTGAGCTTAGAGCGCCGGGCGAGGATGGTGATGTCCCTTTAGGTAACAAAGTACAATAGTTTGTGGTCTAAATATAAACTGTAGTTTATTCGTAATGATTTCTTATATTTACGCGAACACTACACATTGATTGAAACTACTTTTACGGATTTTATCGCGTTTAATTTTAATTTTAATTATTTTTATTTTTAATTCCCGACGTTTCGGGTGCTTTCCAGCAGGGTCCCGCGCCTACGTCACAGTGACCGAGTGAAGCCGGCCACAGTCGAGCGTGTGCCTGCTGTACTACCATATGTCAGAGGTGTCACAGACAAGATTGTCTGCATCTTGAAGCGAGCTTCTATTAGAACATTCTACAAGCCGCCGAAGAAGATTAGTCAGTTCCTACTTTCCGTCAAGTGTCATATTCCTGTCGTAGTGTGTAGTCTTATTGTCTACAAGATGCAGGAGTGTACAAGCATGATTGTGAATGTGGTCTCTCTTATATAGGACAAACAAAAATATCAATTAGAACCCGCGGAAAAGAACATATAGCTGATGTGAAGTATCAACGTTCCGGGAAGTCTGCAGTTTGTGATCATATCCTAGACGGCCCCAACCATTACATCAGATTTGATAGACCACAAATCCTCGCGAAAGTACACCGATTCCTACCAAGGATGATACATGAGGCTATTGAAATTAAAAAAACATCGAAAACATTCGAAGAAGGCTGGGTACTACCACCTGCTTGGGACCCTATAATCAATAAAATTAAAACTAAACCCAAGCATACCACTGCAAGACCTCAAGACATAGTCAGTTCATTTTGCACAGATCGGACCATACATAATAATTAAAAAAGCTGAAGGTACTCCGGGTTTAACAATGACATCGGGACGTCAGCCACCAGTCCCCCGTGACCATGGGTGTGGAAAGATCCGCAAGTCGAGAATTAAAATTAAAATTTGTAATCCGTAAAAGTAGTTTTAATCAATGTGTAGTTTATTTGTCTAATTTATTTTATAATTCGGTAGTTGATACCATCATTAAGAAATTACTTCATCTTTTACACTATCACCAACTTATTCGTTCAGATGGACAAAATTAGAACTAACGCAGTTATTTTATAAATGACATTTCACTACAAGCTATTATTTATTTCATGCTGTGAGGAGAGTGCTTTGTTTGATTTCATTGTGAAAAGTGTATTTTGCTTTATTTCATTGTGAAAAATGCAAATAAATATGTATATTTAGTCACCTATTTCCTCGGTAAATTTCTTAAGTGACAGTTGTTAGCTCTCCACTAGCGACTCAACAGCAAAGTTGGTGGCACTATAATATATGGAGAAAGCATACGTTCAGAAGTGGACGTTTGATGGACTGTAAGGGTGACGGTAATTAATAGTAGATCTGAGATGACATCTTCAATTCTTCCTCCTCCTCAACCCTCAAAGGTTAACAGTAGAAATATTGTAATTTGCCCTTTAAATAAAAGAATTGTACCTTTAAATATAAGAATCAGGTATTATTACAATTAAAAAGTTCGTTTTATTTCAATCTAGATGACACATTCCTTTTAATTACTAAATTACCTTTGAGTGTCTCATTGCTAGAAGACGTCGCCATAATCTTTGGTATTGTCAAATGACTGTTGTCCTCTTCCACCTTTCACAGTTAGCATAAGACAAACGAGACAGCTATATAAGCACAGGTTACTTCAAAAGTTTGGCAAATTTAAAAGTATACTGTTGGAATTCGGCATACCTTGCTTACTGTAGATGGGCGCCTTGAAGGTGCCGGGTAAGGAGAGAGTTTATCCTCATCTTCACCTAAATGATAAATAATATTTTTAATCTGTGTTTTTTATAAAATTGAAATGATAAACGAACTTACAGCCCACCTGATGGTATTTGGATACTGTATTCCATGAACACCTTTTATCCATGGTAGAGCCACGCACCAGATATATTGTGATTGTAGCACGATGGGTCGGCTCGATCGGGGCAGGACCACGCTCTTACGGAATACTAGCGTAAAATAGCAGCTTAATACTGCTGTGTTTCGTATGGTGAGTGTAGAGATCCGGAGACCTTTTCCTACTGGATACGAGGCATTCCATCTTAGTCCTCAGGGGTGACAACGCGACTGTGTGTCCAGCCGCTCGCGCTCATGTTGCCAGTCCTTCGATTCGCGCCCAAAAAACCGGCAAAAGAGGGAGCAATGGACATGACGAGGAGTATACGTCTTCGTTACTACCGCCAGGACTCCTGGTAAGACCTCCTCCCTCTTACTGCGGCCAAGAAACCTTAAGCCTTCAGAACTCCTAACCAGTCTTGCTAGTCTGTTTGACTGGCATACTTGAAATTCATGTATGTAGTCATGGTGGTAAACTGTAATTTTTATTGATTAGTGACGTTTGACATGTTTATTTCACGTATTTTTGACACTATTGTGCATGAAAGTTGGAGAACAGGAGAACGATCGCCATACAAAATAGTGTCCCAGAAATATGGACACCATAATTGAGGCGCTGCGATCGCTCAGTTTGGTTAATAAAAGTCATTTTCAGTCTATTTTTCCGATCAGATGCTAAACCACTTGCACATCCACGCACAATAAAATATTTCTCCATTTTTAATATTTCTTTTTGTCAAAAATTACAAAATTACGGAGCATGAAAATTTTCTCATAAAAAATGAAATGAAAATTTGTACATTATTCAACTAACTTCATCTACTTGTACTCATAAACAGCTAACTTCGCAGTCACTACTCACCGACGTCAGCGCCGCTATACATTTTACAATTTTCAGGGACAGGCGGGCTGTGCTTTAGTACGTAGTGATCGTTCTCCTGATGTAGAGTAGAAGTAAGGACTACAGACTGTGTATTGAAAAGTGTCCATAGAAAAACGTTAAGTAACGTTCCTTACTTCCACACTCCATAGTCCTTTAATAATGGTGGTTAATATAGCGCATAGCGCCATATTATAGCGCGCTATCTCTTCATAACGCATAGCGCGTGCTATGTAAGTAGTCGCCATGGCGCTATGACGCTATGACGCTTTGGCGCTATTCATATCAAGCGGCAATTAGTTCTAGGGGGGGGGGGTTTGGTTTTTAGAAGAAATTTTTTTTTGGGGTTTTTTGGGGGTTTTGTTTTGTTGTGTTGGTGGGTTTTTTTATTTTATTTTTTTTTTGGGGGTTTTATGGGGTGTTTTTTTGTTTTTTTGTGGGGTGGGGGTGGGGTTTTTGTTTTTTTTTTGATAGTTGGGGGGGTGTTTTTTTTTTTTTTTTTTTTTTTGGGTGGGTGGGTTGTTAATTTTATTTTTACTTGGAGGTTGGTGGTTTTTTTTCAATTTTTTTTATTAAATTAAAATTTTTTTTTTATTTTTTTTTTTTTTTTTTTTTTTTTATTATTTTTTTTTTTTTTTTTATTTTTAAATATATTTTTTTATTTTTTTTTTTTTTTTTTTAATATTAATATTTTTTTTACAAAAAAAAAAAACAACAACAAAAAATAAAAAAAAAAATTTTTTTTTTTTTTATTTTAAAAAAAGTTTATGGGGAGTTTTTTTGTTTTTTTTTTTTTTTTTTTTTTTTCTTTTTTTTTTTTTTTTTCCTCTCCTAAAAGGGGAGGGAGGTTGTGGTATAAATAAAAAGAAAACGCGCGCGCCTTGGGGGGGGGGTGTGAGGTTTTTTTTTTTTTTTGTTTTTTTTTTGGTGTTTTGGGGTTTTTGTTCAGCAGCGGTGTTGGGAGTAGACGTGTGACGGAAATTTAATCTAGCAGCACGCTATTCATCGCGCGCGAACTGATTTAGTGTTAGACGTTATTTAGTTAGTGTATACCGTATATTTATAAGTGATCGAAGGACACAGTTGTGTGCTACAAAAGAAGCCTAACTAATGTTTTTAAATGTAAATAAAATATAGATACAAAAGTGTATATAATAGTGTTTGTAAATAGTTGATTTTTGTATATACAAATAATAAACTTTTAAATACACCTTTGATTTATAATTTATAACAAGGTTAAAATAACGTTTACATCAATTATAATAAAAATGATTAATTTTATTTTGTTTTAAAAAGTACAGTCCTTAAAAATATTTTTAGGAGTATAAAAAGTCTGAAAAGCTTTTCTGAAGAGCTTTCTTTAAATTTTCTTTACCACTTTATTTTATTTTAATCTAAAATGCGACTTATTATGAAACAATGTTCTTATATAGCACGCGGTCTATCCAATGAACAACATGTAATGTAGCGTGCTCCGAGATATAGCGTGCTGCTAAACTTAACGCGCTTGCCGGCCTCCTACACACTTTTTTTATAAATAGCGCGCTATAACATAGCGTATTTAATAGCGCGCTAGAAATTCCTAGTTTATAGTCCGTAGCGTGTTATTGATTTATAGTCGTTTTGAACAACTTTATCCTCTAACCTTCATGCTGTTGTGACAACTGACAGTTCATTCTCTATGGTCAATGGTCGCTTTATGGTTTACTGTCCTTGTCTATAACCACAGAGTAAACAAATCGGTGAGACGCCATATTGAAAGTCGACAAAAATAATTAATGAACATCAATTTTTTACCATGACAGGATAGGTTTAAATGAATTATCCGTATTTTCCCCAAATTATACAGATTTTTCTCTTTTTTTGAGGTAGTGTACATAGACCTGGCCCATTTTGAAATATCTGATTAATTAGTATAGGTGACAGAAGGAAACAAACGAGGAAGGCGAGAGGTGGACAGCAGCGTCTTCCTAATAGAAACTAGAAAAAACAATGCAATGCGTATGGTAGTGAATATTTTTTTGAATTTTAAATCATAATTTTGATATAAAAGAACACATTATTATCTTACTTTTTTTTGAAGCCTTCCAAAATCTCGACTGCCAGTCTCGATCACTATATTCTGAACCGTAACCTGAAAATAATAATAAAGTCATTTGAGCATTATAGTTTAGTTCTTTTTTTTAAAACCATAACAATAGGAATTTCGTCTGTATTTTGGAGGACTTTATATATGTCGCAGCCAACTAGTTTAATCAGCCTTTCAGTTAACAGCCTAGCCTTTTAAACGGTGCCGTTCAACTAGCTGCCTAAATGATATTCACCCTTCCGTTTGTACAACGTACAACGTTTAATAAACTGGCTGGCTAATAATGCTCAGACCATTCTTACGATAACGTGAGACAGCGACGTTCAAATAGCGGCCTGAATGACTGAATGACTGAAGGCATGGGTTGACCACGCCTTTCAGTCGATGCGTCTAATACAACATTTCATGCCTAATTATGCACTACGCACTATACTATATAAATATACGCGGCTTTGGGTTGGCCCTTGTGCCTCACCAGCCACACCCTAATCTACTGTTGCTGATATTACAAGATAATTGCAATGATGTATTAGACGCAGTGGCTGAATATCATTCAGGCCCCTAATTAAACATAAAAAGGCTAAGCTGGTAATTTAACGGCTAATTAAATTAATTGACTACGACAGCTTGTACTATTTTTCATTAAACTTTGGAAAATACCATCAAATTTGTTGTTTGCCGACGCCATATTGACAGTTTGGAGAGTTTCAGCGCTAGGTGGCAGAAAGTGGAACTAAATTAAAATGAACAGGCTAGGCAAGTAATGAAACGTCATCGATCCAAGTCATTTGCCTAGCTGTTTGATCAAATTGCTGAATATTATTCATGCCGCTAGTTGAACGGCGCTGTTTAGTAAAGAGGCTAGGCTGTTGATTGAACGGCTGATGAAGCTAGTTGGCTGCGACATGACACAAATTAAACATGATCAAACACCCGGACACGGAATAGTTATTTGAAGGGGACTTGTTTTTTTTTTGTTACGTATATATTCAAACCCAAAGACTTCTACGTATACAACTAGACGGGCTCTGCCGCCTTAATAAACTGCACACTAAGTTAAAATCAGTTCTTTGTAAACATTGATTTATAATATTACACTAGATTAGTAATTACCGCACCAAAGCGTTGCCACAGCACATATAGCCACAGCACATATGGCCACAGCCATATGCCTAGCTAACGTCAGTTCAGTGTTCAATGTGATGCCGACAGAGTTGAGCCGGACGATCCGCGACAAAAAATGCGTAAATGCGTAGTGAAAGAATGTGATTCAATGACACAAAAACACAATAAATCAAGCGGAATCACATTCCACGCATACGTTTTAGTTCATGTTTTCATATAAACATAAAAACTTCAAATAATTAAACAAAATTATCGAATATTGCGATTTAGGTTAAATGTTGCCACTTTTCCGCCTTTGCGATTATCCCACACTAACGGGAGACTATATAATTAATGGAGTAAGTTAATTTGTTACCTCTCATTTTAAATATTTTGGAAATTATAATAAAAACTACTTATAATAAATACTACTACTACTTATTCATGAATGATCTATTAAATATATTTTATTACCTATTTTGATATTAATAATTATATATTTATTATTCTTTTATTTTTATATAAATTTTATATTGTATGTTAATTATATTTTATTACCTATTTTATATTATTTGATTTATTAGTATAATAAAAATACTTATAAATAATATGTTTTATTTTATCAGTTATGCTAACTTCTGTTCACATGATAAGAAAATATACTTTTTTTTAAATAAACAATTAACTGTAGCTTAAAAAAACTCCTTTTTATTGCTTATTTTGGGTTAAATTTCACACAGTAAGCTACACCAACCCGCAATTGCATTTTTATCTAATCTCAGCGAGGGTATTGTTTTTGCAACTTGTGAAAGTGAGACAGGTAATAGTTTATTTAAAATGTTTAGTAATTTCAAAGCTACGCCGTCGCGGTTGGAAAGTGGTTACACTTTTTTCGACGGGCGGTCATGTGGTTTGCTCCTCTAGGTTTGTATAACTCAATGTCTGTAAGAGCGGGCGCACAAACCAGTTCTTTTTTTTTCATAAGCCGCAAACATTGTTTTCGATAATCTATCACTGAATTTGTTTAATGTGACTAAGAAAACGCTGTCATTATATAGGTACGTGCGCACTTTGTCAACGAGATTTAATGTTTATTTAAGACTAGCTGTTCAAGTTCATAGGTCCTAATATATAAAGTAGGCTAAGGAAGTAAATGAACCCATATATTTATTTATATTGATTTGATAAAATATATTAAGTATAGGTCGCGTCACGGTTTAATAGCGCTGACCTTAAATGCGCAGAAGTCGATTTTTAAACCTGTTTAGCGAAATGAGTGAGGTGCGACGTGAGAATCGCTCAGTCGTCTTCCCCACGTCTTGCTCCGTTCACACGTCGCAAAGCCCTTAGAGTACAGTCGCAAATATCATTGTTTCTATACATTTGATAATCACTTTTTCATTTATAGTGTGAAAGATGCCGACAAAAAAAGCTAGCTAGAAAAATGGTGTATGTCGTGAATTGTTTTATTTAAAAAAAGACAATTGAAATTATTGGTAATTTAAAACAGGTAAAAACACAACAGCAGGAGCGACTTTTACACTACAAAAAACTTGGAAACAACTATTAAAAGATTACTCCAAATTAAAAATCGAACAACTAGTAATACTGATAAAATAATATTGATTCGCATTTGCAATCAATATATATCATAATTAAAATATATAATTGTTAAAACATATTTAATATTAAAAATTAGAGATATTTCTTTATTCATCACTACCTACATAAACATTATACAAAAATTTCAATTTATTTAAATTGCGCAAAATTTTTAATTACATACAAACTAATTATGACTCGTTTTTTTTTTTCTTAAATATGGGATATTTGGTTCTTAGAATTTCATCCGCTCGCTATCCAATCACCTCTTCGTTATTACAATTCATAATTCTGTGCACGAATGTACACTTGGGCAGAGCGCCTCTCCACTTTCGCCGAGCGCTATTTAACCGTGACACAATCTATTCCTTTATAACATAAAAATATATGACTTATAATATTTATTATTACCTAATATTTAATAGAAGTTAATTAATTAAAACTAAAAAAAATCATCATAATTACAGTCCTTCACAAGTCCACTGGTGAACATAAGACTCCCCCAAAGAATGCCACAAAGCACGGTCCTGAGCCACCTGCATCCATCGGCTTCCTGCATGTCTTACCAGGTCGTAACTCCATCTATCTTTTTTCCCCATCGCTAGTCGGTTCTTCGAGCTATATGGCCGGCCCATTGCCACTTCTGCTTACTAATCTAGCTGCTGACTGCTAGCTGTTTCTACTGCGGATATCCTCATTTCTAAGTTTATACGCAGAGAAACCCCGAGCATAGCACTTTCCATACCACGCTGAGTGACCTTGAGCGTCCTCATACGCCCACCAGTGGAGAACCGCGTCTCAGATCCGTAAGTCATCACTGTTAACACGCACTGGTTTGATAATCTAGTTTTAAGGTTTTGAGGTATATCTGACGAGAAGATGTGTGGTAATTTCCCGAACGCTGCCCCGCTGAGTTGAATTATGTTGATTTTTTTAAGACGTTAACAAAGGTTAATTTAAAATAAAACTAATTTTTACGGATTTTACTAAAGTAAAGTACTTGAAACGCCGGAAATATAAAATAAATTATTATACGTGATAAAATCCTTAAAAACTAGTTGCATTTATATATGTAGTAATAGCGTAAATATAAGATATCAAAGGTTGTTTTTATTGGAAAAGAGACCGATTACAGCTAATATATAGATATGGTTTTTATTGATATATCTGTTAAAGTGTTTCTTTTAAAAAAGCAATTCTTCCCTTCCTCCTATCTCCCCTACCGGATACGGAGCTGGCAGCACTGGTCTTGCGCGTGGCGTCCGGTACCGGCGGCAGGTCCAGCTCTTGCTGCGATTGCTCGTAGAACACCTGCTTCAGCGCCTCTAGCACCGTCACGCCGTCAGTGAACACGCGGTATGTCAGCAGGAACGTGTTCAGGAAGTCGACCGACAGAAACCGTAGATCTGTAAACGTAGAGAAGTTTTTTATATTTTACTTTAAAAAACGTTACCCCCACTAAGGTATAAACCGCGGAACGTAACTAACTCCAGCGATAAATGAAACGTAGATGGGATAGCTGCGAATGACGTTTCAGTACGGGGGATGGAATGCAACTGGAGAGCCAATCAGCGCGCGCGAACGATACGTACAGCCAATCATACGCAATAATGCGCAATACGTCTAATTCTGTTCAATAACGGTTACCGCTAAACTTTCGTGCCGCGAGTTGTACCTGAAGCTTCGCCGTCTAGTAAAATCAAAACTAGGAAGACAGAGACAAAAATACAAAGTGGTGTACTATAACTCATATATTAAGAAAAAATAGCAAACAAGCATTGGCAATAATTATGAACCATTCGTAAAATCAACTTAAAAAAAATTAACAACACTGCACAAAAATATTAAAATATTTACCCTTTTGACCCTTATTATATTTGATATACCTTATTATTATTACTTGATTGGCCGATGAAGGACTATCGTATCACAAAGCCATCTATGCAAACAAGGCTGTAATTTTTGAATTATAAGAAAGTGACCATATTACTCTGATGACCATATTACCCTCACGTACTATATACAGAAAGATAGATACCTGAAGTTTATTCCATTCCTTTGCTTTACATGTTCTAGCCTATCAATAGTCCCGCAGCTAAACACAGGCCTCGCTAAGGTGCACGATCAGTTTTGTTGTTATAAATGGTAGAGCCACGCTGCTGCTATATTATGGTTGTAGCACGACTGGGTGGGTTCGACAGGAGATCCACGTTCTCACAGAATACCAACGTGAAATAACATCTTGATGATATACTTGTGTCGTATGGTGAGTATAGAGAAAGGGAGACCCGTTTCACTGGAAACGAGACATTCTTTTTTCTTTAGGGTGATAAAGCATCTACATTTTGATTCATAATCGGGGATAGAGATGTCTATGATCCACAGAATTTACTTTTTCACTATTATATAATGTAGGCACTAAACACTTTTTAATGACTTATTTTAACCATGTTTAATATTCTTTTGTTTCGTTATGTTGCTATTTAGATTTAGATGGATTCTTTTTATTATACACCACTTAAAGCATAGCATATGGAATAAAATGTACAGTTGCACAGTTCTTAACTGCAATATCTCCTAGGCCACCTTTATAAATAATAGGTCCTTACTTATGAAATTGGTGTTTTGTACGGGAGGAATATAAAGTAATTTTTTTTTTGTAAAATATATTTAATTAATCAAAGTATGCACCGTTGTTATCTAAGCAGTTTTGCCATCTTATAGGTGGTTCGTTGATCTCTTTACTAAAAAAAGTACGGGGGCGAGAATCAATAAAATCTTTGAAGGCGGTGAGGACTGCCGCATCGGAGTTGAATTTTTTTCCTTGTAAGAAGTTCCGTGTACGAATTCCAGAAACAATAGTAATCTGGTTGGAGCAAGGTACAAGGAGTACGGTGCATGTCGCAGACATTCTAACTGTAGCTCATCTAACTTAGTGGTTGTTTGTTGCGTGTGTGGTCTAGCGTTGTCGTGAAGCAGCAGTGGCCTAGAGCGATTGAATAATCTCGGTTGTTAGTAGTTACATTGTACCAGTTCTGGCTCACTGAGTCAGAAGTGGTACAAGTACGACGTTCGTCAACTTACGATCCTAAAAAAAAAGGTTTTGGCATGCTCTGATCACGAATCTGCGGTCCATTTTTGCATAGGATGCACGGTTCCGGAGATGTGCAGATCAATTAACTCTTATCTAATTAACATCCGGTGAAGGCCTCCACCGTCATTAGCGCTCCATTGTTCTTATCTATTTATCTATTGTTCATTGAATACCGTCATTATCTATTCTTCCCCAGCGTGGTGGTATTATATTATACTCCTTTGTTCCTATCTACATTAATCTGACTCATCAATAAAACACATTACCTAACTTTGTTAAAATTTTTATTTACAAAATTTTATTACTTATTATCTATAAAATAGAAACATCTCATCCACTAAAATATCGTTGTACAATGTGTTCCCTGTAAATATACTCGTAAAACTATGCATTGAGCATCCCTGAAACTTATATAGCAAATACATTAAGCAATATTCGCCACAAACTGAAGTCCACTCATTCTGAATCCTATCAACATTCCAGTTCCATCTTTTACAGTTTCTTTTTAAAAACTCTAGATGATATCGTACAGGTGCTCATCCGAATGAATCAAAATATTGACCGACGTCATTCGTATCGATATATAAAGCTACCCAATGTGACCCTGGTTCACATCTGTATCCAAATTGCATATTATGTACGTTGGTACGTGGGTGTACATGGGCAGTTTATTGGCAGCATAAACATTATTTTCTAGAGTGGGGTGAATCTTTTTCAGATGTTGTTCTACATCTAGTGTATCCATGATATTACTGCTATTAGTAGATTATTACAGTACAGTAGAATCTACTCAATGACTAACATAGGAATGATCATTTATAGTGATTTCTAAATATTAAATTGCTTTATTTTGTGTTATACAAAACGTATTTGAGTCATCAATACACTGATCAAGACGCGACATGAAGTAATGTTGAGATAAGCAACAAAATGTGAGATAAGCTTGTTGACGCATAAAGTTACTATCAATTCCACTGCAGAAATTCTTTAGATTTGAATTATTACTTACTGGTACTATATAAGACCAAGCAAGTGCAGTCATGGAGTTAGTGTATGGTCGTTTGACCGCAGTGGATCTATCATTACTACATTTGTGTTACTTCAACGCATCAAAGGCCATGGATGTAAGTGTTTATTCTATTGACAAAGTTACTTTTATTTCTGTTATTTTCTTACGTGTGTATGATTTAGTGTTAACAAATTATAATTAAATATTGTGTGTGTATTATACTAAGCCGTGGTAGCTCAGATGGTTAGCGCAAGCTGTAAATTTCACAGTACCCGGGTTCGATCCCCGCCGGCACCAATTAAATTGTTAATTGCAATTTTAAGTATTTATTGACAAAGTTACTTTTCTTTCTGTTATTTTCTTACGTGTGTATGATTTAGTGTTAACAAATTATATTTAAACATTGTGTGTGTATTATATTAAGCCGTGGTAGCTCAGGTGGTTAGCGCAAGCTGTAAATTTAACAGTACCCGGGTTCGATCCCCGCCGGCACCATTTAAATTGTTAATTACAATTTTAAGTGTTTATTCTATTGACAAACTTACTTTTCTTTCTGTTATTTTCTTACGTGTGTATGATTTAGTGTTAACAAATTATATTTAAATATTGTGTGTGTACCGCATCTACGAATACTAGAGTAGTTAAAAAATAGTTTTTTTAACAATGACAGTCATTAGTTGACCATTAGTGAATGTGATTCTGTTTACTTAAATTACAGGAAGACAAGAGCAGAAGGAAGAAATGGGATGATATGAAGTAATGAAGCATTGTTATGTGAAGTTTGTTGGAACAAACATATTTTTAGTCACGTGTAAATACTTTTAACATTTTGGTTCAAAATGACACAAAATCTAAAAAATATTAGATACATCATCGACATGGACGGATTTTACATTACATATCCTCATAAACATTTTCAATGTAGAGAAATGGCTATTCTAGACGTAAAACTATCTAATAAAAATGATGCGTTTATCGATCATTATTTGTTTCGGCCAAGTTATCCTTTCAATTATTTGTCACCAAAAGACAAAAAAACTGTTCGTTATTGTGAAACACACGTGCACGGTATTCCATATTTTGATGTGACCGAAGAATTAAAATGTGCCTACAAACAAGAGAACATCATCCCCATATTAAATTGATATATTAGAAATTTGTGCAAAGACGAAGTGATCGCATACAAAGGTGGTTCAACAGAAAAACAATTTTTAAAAATGTTGACGACGAATGATAGAATTTTTAATATTGTAGAATACAAATGTCCAAAATACATTGATTGGTAAATGTCATAAATTTAAACAAACATTATGTGTGTAATAATCATATATTTGCAAAAATAATCACAAAATTTTACATTGTTCTTGTGACGAAGTGTGGGTATTTTACAAGTGGTTATTGCTTGAAAATAAAATTTTCAATTAATCATAAATTTTGTTTGATTTCCCAAAAACATTAGTTATAGTACACAATATATATTAATTGTTTACACCAACACTTTCATTTTTTATTTCACCCCTTAGAACTTTAGACGTGTGTAATGTTTCACTTTATACATCCGTTTACTGCTATTGTGGCAGGACCAAGTGGATGTGGGAAGTCAAATTTTGTAACAAATTTCATATAATCAGTTACAGAAATATGTAATTGTGATTTTAATCAAATCACATGGTGTTTTGATGAAATGCAACCTTTATATAATTTACCAAATGTTAACTATCATCAAGGAATTCCAAATCTTAATATGTTTGATGGTGAAAACCCACATCACGTTATTATTGATGATCTAATGAGAGAGTCCTATGTAACTTTAAACTTGAACAGTGTTTTGTATTAAATAGAAGATTTATAAAGAAATAAAAAATAATATATCGCATACAATTTGTTTTATTTAATTTTATAACGATTTACATAGTTACATACACACAAAATGCATTTCACATAACTCATAAAATCTAACACACAACACATATTATAACCTTAACTACTATAGTCTACAGTAACATTTCTGTTTTTATCTATCTCAATAATATTATCAAACTCAGCATAAACTATACAGTTAATTGTTTGTATTAGCGAGGATTCAAATCGTACTTCTAATCTTACACTACCATGCTTTATTCCAATGAGCTGATGAGTTGGCTGATAAATCAGGAGTTATGTCAAATGCTAATAGACAGTAACCTTTGGCATACTGTTCATAAGAGATTCCATTTCCTTCATTAAGAAAGTGAATATCGTAATCGTATCGACGAACGACGAACGTCGTACTTGTACCACTTCTGACTCAGTGAGCCAGAACTGGTACAACGTAACTACTGTTGTTTAGCAGCTAATTGCAGATAATAGATAACTGCCATAATCGTTCGGCCAGATTTTAGAAAGCTGTAGTGAACGAAACCGGCGCTAGTCCACCAAACACTTACAAGTAACTTTATCGGAGTCAATTTTCGTTTAGGGCAGGATTTGACTGTATCTTCAAGGGTTCAGTCATTGCGCCTAGCGCTTCCGATTATCGTACAGTATCCACTTTTCATCACAGGTAATGATTCGATTTAAAATCCCTTCATTTTTGTGTCGGTTGAGCAAAGTAACACAGCAGTCGACGCGTGTTTGCAAGGTTCAGTGTGCCTCGAATCATTCAGCGATCGCTGCCAGTTTTTAGCCTCGCGTTCACTGAGACATCGCTGAACAGTTGGCGTCTGGTAGTCATAATGAAATCAATTTTATTTTTTGTCGAACCGTCGGGGCTCGACCCGGTCCACTTCCTGTGGGGCCGCTTCTGGAAGAAAGAGTTCATCATAAAGAGTCCCTCTTTCTCCATGAAGTTCTTGGGTTCTGTTGCCCTATTCCAAATTTCCCTTACTTTAGCTCACCGCTTTCTCTTGTGCCTAGTTTTGTGTTGAAGTCTCCTATCAACACTGTATAGTGGGTTTTGGAAGAATGCATGGCTCTAGAGATGTCCTCATACATTTCCTCCACCTCCTCATCGGGATGTGCCAAAGTTGGTGCGTAAACCTGTATGACCTTCAGCGAATACCGTATGGTGATTCTGAGTATCAGGTAAGCGACGCTCGTCGATACACTCCCAATCTTTACAACGTTGTTGACGAGAGACTTGTGGACGATAAATCCGACACCTCCTTGGGACAGATGGTCGCCCTTCTGGTGATAGAACAAGTTACTGGATTCGAGGATTACCGTATCATTCCCCTCTCTTCGAACCTCGGATAATCCTATAATATGCCAGCGCAACTTGTGTACCTCTTCTTCTAGCTCCAGTATCTTCTCGTCAGTCCTCAGAGTGCGTGCGTTATATGTTGCGAGGTCGAGTCGTCGTAGTTGGCAACCGAACTTCCACCGGAGATTCTTAGCACCCCCTGTCCCGCTATTACCATGGTCGCCACCGTAGCCTGGAATAGTGGGGCCACCGGGGACTGGGGTCCATTTTTTTGTGTCATTTCACATGTCATGCCATAGTTGTCATGCTTTGCGAGCGAGTTGGCAACCGCAGTATTTTTATTGTATAGTATTGTTGTTATCAGGAAGATGCTGCTGCCTATCTCCTGCCTGCCTCTCTTTGTCGTCTCTTACGACACCCACGGGAAGATATGGCTAGTGGAGATTCTCAGCTGCCACTACACGGCAATGCTACAACCATAATAACGTATAATATTGTAACTTTACCTTTGTACCTACTAGTGAGGACATTTAATTGGCTCATTGTGTTACCTAGTTTGAAGTGAATTTTCCGCCCTCCCTCAATTGCGTGCACTAACTCCGTTACCACTAGGCAACCTAGGAAAAAGACACACTACCGTCGATAATACGACACATGTTTAGCCTCTACACGAGGCATTAACTCTTCACGGCGATCGGTTGAATGGAATAGCAGTTGACTTGTTGCAACAGTAGCCTAATGGCAGGGCGCGGACCGCAAACTCAAAAAAGGTCGTGGGTTCGAATCCGCCATTTCGACTACTGGCGTGAACCACTCGTAACACAAGCAATTTAAGCTTACCACGAGTGGTTAAGGGGAATATTAGTAATGTTTATAGCATTGTTAATATTCTTAAAAAAAAAACAAAAGCAACGCCATCTAGTAGTGAACTACTATATGTACTATCTGCACTGAGTTATATTATAGTTGTTGGTGTTCCAAATAAAAATCAAAAAGAAGTACCCGTGAGGCGCTGTAGCAGGCGCTGTGGCGTGGCGGAGCGGATCTGCGGCACCTTGCAGGAGTTGAGCGTGCGGCTGAAGCGGATGTCCACGTCGTCGGTGAAGAGCGCGCGGTCTGAGCGGCAGGCAGGCAGGCTGGCGGACGCCGCACCGCACGCGCCGCACGCACGCAGCAGCTCCGTCAGCGCCGCGCTCTCCATGCACTGTGCCAGCTCGCTCGTCCAGGCTGCCTTCTCCTCCAACGTCGACGCCACTGTCGCAATCAATACGAGCTACGTTCACAAGCCGTATGAAGCTCAAGGGAGAGCTATGCTCAAGGTTTCTCTGCGGGATAAACTTAGAAATGATATCCGCAGTAGAACCAGAGTAACCGACATAGCCCTACGGATTAGTAAGCTGAAGTGGCAATGGGCCAGCCATATAGCTAAAAGTACCGACAACCGATGAGGAAGAAAGGTTCCCGAGGAGCAGCTTCGTACTAAATGGAGTGACGACCTGATAAGACATGCAGGAAGTCGATGAATGCATGCTCAGGACGGTGCTTTGTGTCATTCTTTGGGGAAAGCCTATGTTCAGCAGTGGACTTGTGAAGAGGTGTAAAAATGATAACGATGATGATAATGACATTCAGAAACATTTCCATGTATTCTAAATCTAAATCTAAATTTCTATGTAATAAAAAGAGAATTTGACACAACCAACAAATATAACATACATTTTTTGATTTCAAATTCTCATATATTCTAACACGGGTCAAAAAGAAGAGAGAGGTCTGCCCGAATGGCACAATCGCTTATATGTTATTCCTTCGTTCACATGGATACTTTTGGCAGTAGAGTCCAAGAGGGAGGTCCTGGCCGTTAGTTTGGAAGTTGCAAAGGCCTTCGATCGGATTGGCACAAAGCGCTTCTTCGAAGCTCCTTTTCTATGGGCTTCCCGAGAAATTGTACAACTGTATCACCTTCTGGACATCTACACATCTACTGGAGCATTAAAGTAAGCTATAGTGTAATTCTATTTATACTGTTATTCCACAAGACTACGTGCTGTCACCTACGCTGTTTATTCTGCTTATTAATAATATGCTGCAAACCAGTAACATTCATTGCTACGCAGACGACAGGATTGGCGATTCTTTATACACCGACCGTGCCAATATTTCCCGGGAAACGTCACCGAGTACAAATCACCACTAAAAAGAATCCCCTTGTCGTAACTCTTCAATTTCAGTGCACTCCCCATGTTTTCTCACCCAGTATCAGAATCCTTGGCGTCAATATATCAAATGACGTGCAGTTTCGTGGTCACTTTTATCTTAAAAGCTTGGCGAAACTCAGCAGAGCGGGACAGTATTTTGTGACGGCACACTGCTTGCAACTTTACAAGGCGCAGGTTCGGTCCAACATGGAATACTGTTCTCATCTCTGGGCTGGAGCTCCCCAGTACCAGCTCCTTCCACTTGACCGCATCCAGCGCAGAGCGGCTCGAATCGTCGACGACCGAGTTCTCTTTGATTGGCTCGATTCACTGGCGCTGCTAAGAGATGTTGCATTGTCTATCGCGTTTAGCACGGGGAGAGTTAAGAGGAATTGTTCGAATTAATTCTAGATGCCAAAATTAACCAACACATCACAATAATCCACAGCATCGGGATATTTGGCGGTCCAGTACTGTACGATTTGCTAGGAGTTTTCTTCCTTGCACGACGTCTTTGTGGAATCCTTAACCACCGCCGATTTTTCCGGACCGGTACGACGTAGGGATATTCAAGAAACGAACTCCTTTTTTAAAAGCTGGGATCGCTCCTAAAATTCCCCTGGTGTTGCATTTGTTAATAGGCGGCGGTCGACACTTAGCATCAGATGAGTCACATGCTCGTTTGCCCCTCGTTCTATACAAAAAAGACAATAAAACGAAGTATACTATTTTATTTTAACAATGTTATATTTATGTTCTGGAAGTGGAATAAATTTTTGTGATTTAAGTTCGAGCCGTTCAAGGTCAGGGGCCAAAAAAGGTAATACGCGAAAATTCTGTATACAACTAGGGTAGTTTATAACTATTTCAAACGTCGTTCTTGGAGCCCGCGGGGACCCCTTGCATTGGGGCCACGGGGCACTGCCCCGCATAGTCTATTGGTAGCTACGCCACTGCAGACAGGAACTACGGTACTGACGCGTTTCGTACTAAGTTATGGTCAATTATCCGTAAGTTTTTTCGACGATTGCAAACGGAAGAGAGCCTAGTTCTTTGTTTTGTAAAATGCGAACGTTGTTTTCGACAATTTAACACCGATTTAGTTTCATGTGACTAAGAAAACGCGATACTACACGATAAATATGTGACTTTATTTCGTATTTGCCTAAAAACAATAACTATGGCCGATATGGAAATGGAAATACAACTGCGTGGCATAGTTACTGTGCAAGCCAAACCCTCTCCCCCCCCCCACGTTCGCCCGATCCACAGCTGTAACTAGGAATGCCAGATCGAAAGACAATAATATCTGGAGAAATTTGAAAATGTCGGTATTTTGGGGGTTATTGTCGGGAGAAATAAGTGTTAAAAATAAAAATGTAAAATAAAATAGTTATTTTTTAGATTAGTAGGCTACAAAAAGACACTTATTTTTAACTTATTAAAATTAATAAAAAATAACTAGCAGTGGTGCCAACCTGCCCGCCAGGCGTTTCAACTTGGCGAGGCCTGTGTACTGTGTTGCTGTGATGAAAGAACGAATTTACAAAGACTTCTTGCATACCACTAGACTGGTAATTCAGAACAGAACTGTGTCTCAACTAGGGTTGCAAGATGGTCGGGAATCGTCTGGATTATGCCGACATTTTAAATGATCTCCAGACTCCCGACAAAACTCAAAATCTTCAGACAAACATCTCTTCACATCCTTTGATTTAATTAAATAACTGTAATTAACTGAGTTAGTAGGTAATTAGACTAGACTTTGAAGTAAATTGTTAGAATTTTATATATTTTCTGAACTCTTCTAATAGACCCAAATTGGTTAACGCAGTAAAGTCCTATGCCAAGAAAGGTATAACTAATTTAAGTACATTTAATTTTTAGGTTGTCACATGTCATCTCATTTAAAATGTCGGGATAATCCAGACGATTCCCGATCATCTGGCAACCCTAGCTGAGACACAGTTCTGTTCTGAATTACTAGTCTAGTGGTATGCAAGAAGTCTTTGTACATTCGTTCTTTCATCACAACAACACAGTAGGGGAGGTAGGGGAGGGATGGGCACTTTTTTACAATTTGATGCAGAAAATATATATAATCAACATTTAATGCCTATTCTTATTGCACCACATATTTGGCTAGATATCTTAGAAAGAACTTTCTTAAAATTATGATCAGTCTCAACATTATAAGATAATTTGTGAAACTCAGTCAAAGTGCCCAATGCTCCCTATGGCAGGGAGGTTTGGACACACCCTGTGGGAGGCTTGGGCATGGCCTATAAAATACTTAATATCCAAATATAAAACACTTAATATCTGATACAATCCAAAAATAAAAGTTAACAACAATAAAAACATCTAAAATACATATCTTAGCTTATCTAAGATTAGGTATAACCCATAAAGGTTTATCAAATGTGTACTTAGAGCTACCACGTTTGGTTTTATTGCATGTCTTTGGTTCTGGCAATTTAGTTTTGATGTCATCTAGTAGGACACAAGCTATGTCATCTACTTCAGGAAAAAAAAGGTGTTTCTTATCTTACTCAGCCGCATAAATTTTATTGTAGCCATGGTATGACTGATGTCTTCGATTTGACCGACATAGTGCACAACAGTCTTTTTTACATTAAATTTAACGAGCACATAATCATTCTTTTGAAAATTTCTGTCAACCATTATCACATCATCTTCATCTAACTCTTCTTCGGACGTGTCTTCAGCAAAGGATCTCTCAGAACTATCAGTGAGTAAAACATTTTCTATGTCGCTATCACTACTGCTCATTTGCCTCTTCTTTACTCTATTCGATGTTAGTTCTGATGGAAGTTTAGGAATCTGTTTTTTCCCTGTGTTTTTGAGAACCTTTTTTTCCTGCCTCTCTTTCTTAGCCTTGTTCTTGATTTGCTTTTCTTGTTCTGCTAATTCTATTAGTCTTTTTTCAGGTGTGTCTGTCAATATTCTTGTTTTTGCTTTCTTCCTTGCATTTTTAATCAGTTTTCTTGGGCAAGCCTTTGGGTATGGTCTTACTATTTCAGGGGTTACAACTTCAGCGACTTCAATTGTTATTTGATCTGTAGCAAATGATGAGGAAGAATTGGCGACAGCAATGTTATTCAAATTAACAGGATCTGCTTCATTTTGATTTTCTCTTTCAAGGTGTTCTGGAATGACTTGAGTTGAAGTTGGCTGGATTATAGGGTCATATCTGGATGATAACGTTTCATCAGTTACGGGTGCATCGCGATCGGTGACAGAAGAGCAAAGAAAATCTTCATTCGAGAATATATTTGAATTAAAAGGCCATATCCCAGGTTTTTCAAATCCTTTTTGTATGTTTTGTGGTTTGAAAGCTAGAGGTATAGCAATGGCTGCTAGTTTGGGGATATCATAGATTGTTACAGTTTTTCCAGGATTGCTGACCATCCAATCTGTTAAAGCTTTATTGTAGTAATTTTTTAGTGGTCCATACACTGTTAAGTCAAGTGGCTGTAGTTTGTGGCTACAGTGTGGTGGAAAGGTCATCAGAACAATGCCAATTTCTTTACAAAAGTCTAAGACTTCCACAGAAATATGGCTCTCATGATTATCTAGGAGCAACAACACTGGATTTTCAGGCGTCGGTTTTGCATGTTTCGCAAAATGATGCATATATTTAATGAAATTTGAAGATGTCATCCATCCAGACGGATGTGTTGAGCCATCTGACCCAATGGGGGCATCATGAAGCATGTATGGTTTAAAATTTACTCTTGGGAATATGAAATACGGAGGTATTGAGTTTCCAATAGCATTGATTCCACAGCAAACTGTGACAAGTGAGCCTCTCTCAGCAAATGTTGCTTGTCCAACTTGTTTCGAGCCTTTTGAAGCAATAACTCTTTGTGTGCGCTGAACAGTTGTCAATCCTGTTTCATCTATGTTATATATACCTTCAGGATCAAACTGATGTCGCTCAAAGACAGTTTTTAAATTTTCAAAAAAATTATCAACAATTGTTTTGTAAAAACTTGTTGAACGTGACAATGATGTTGCTTCTAGTGTCCGTATTGATAAATGAGATTGCCTATTTAAAAATCCCCTTATCCAGTCCTTAGATGCGATTTTGTTCTTGATCCAGTTATCAGGAATATTAGTTTTCTTTATGGCTACAGCATAGTCATAGGCCAATTTACGTGCTTGTATCTTTGTCAATCCATAATGATGTTTAGAACAAACTATTATGTAATTTGATAATTTTTGTTCTTCTTCGTCGGTGAAAATTTGTGAGGTTATAAATCTATGCGAAGAATCCTTTATAGAATCTTGTTTAAGGTACCGTTGCATACTTGATCTAGGAATTTTATATTTATCAGCCGTTGTTTTTATTTTTGATCCTTTTGATATCTCTTCTATGGCTCGTAATATCACATCTTTAGGAATTTCCCGTCGCAGACCTTTCTTTTTGAATTTAAATGGCATCTTTCTGTAATTAAATATAATTCAAATAGTTTAATTAATGCAGGTAATTAGAATTTTTAAAAATCCTGCCATACTAGACTTAAAGGAGGGAGCATTGGGCATGCCCAAACCTCCCTCACATCAGAATGCCCATTACTCCCTCCGTATACATTTTCAACATAAGTGATCGGTATTTTTTTTATTAAGCTATTTAAGCATGAATTTCAATTTTATTTATAGGTTCGTAAATATACAATAGATATACAATGAAAAGTAGACATACCTTTCGTTCGTTTTCTCTTTATCACAATCCGAAACCACAACAAAATATTTACTTTTACGAGCGCATAACCTTCAAACGTGTCTGTGTTTGGCAACTGACAGAAATGACAGATAGTCTATGGATGAACATTGTTGCCAGTCGGTAAAGTAAACTATCAAAGTAGGGAAAAAATAAAATCTGTGACCGGACCAGAATAAAAGGGGGGTGCCCATGTCTCCCGACTGCCCGTCCCTCCCCTACCTCCCCTACACGGGCCTCGACAAGTTGTCACGCCTGGCGGGCAGGTTGGCACCACCGCTCGTTATTTTTTTATTGATTTTAATAAGTAAGTGTCAATAGCATAATGTTAGTGAAGCTAGAGAAGAAGGGTCCATATTAGCTCGGCTATGTTCAGAAGATGTAGGTAAGTCATGCGAATCTTTATTTGTTACTAGTGAAGTAGTCAAGTTTTCGCGGTATTGTTCTGATTATGTTAATTGTACGTAGTGTAGAGAAGTTTGTTTATGTAAGATGGTATTATGTTTCTTTTTACAGCTTTAACAGATCCATGACCGCTGTATAAGCAATTGTTGCATAGCTGCTATTTGTTCTTCAACCGACATTGCTTTGAATTTATTACAATCATATAGTTTATGGTTTTAATTATATGAAAAATAATTTACGTCAATAAGAGGGATAGAATAAGATGAAGAGACTACAAAAGACTATCTTCCTACTTACCCAAATGAGCACAGATCTGCTCTCCTTTGACTTCGACAAGTATTTTAAAATCCTTGCCCTGATAAGGGTCCCCGCCAGGTGACGAACATACCGAAGTGGAATCTGAAATATTAGTTTTATATTGGTTGATAGTTTAGTAAACTACTAAGCATATGATAGCGCTGCTGTGGGATCGCGGCTTCGAATTCCGAAAAAAAGGTCAAGTAGTTTACTGGTACATGCATACATTTACTATCCTTTTTAGCGGTACTTCAGTCAGGTATATAAATAGGAATAGAGAGCAATAAAACTTTTTTATATAGAATACGGTGACAAAGTGTTTGATGTGGCCCGTAGACAGCTACATCTATCATCGATTACGAATCAAAATGCAGATGCGTTGTCACCCGTGAGTACTTAGATGGAATGCCTCGTTTCCAGTAATAACGGTCTTCGGATCTCTACACTCGCCATACGAAACACAGCAGCATTAAGCTACTAATTTACGTTTTTATTCTGTGAAAGCGTGGTCCTTCCCCGGTCGAGCCGCCCCATTCGTGTTACAACTATACTACTAATATAGGTGCAGCATGACTCTACCACGTACAAACTTTGAAAATGTCGTATACAAATTTGGAAAGAATAACGAAATTACAGTCCACCTGATGGTAAGTGTTACCGCAGCCCGCCGAACATCTGCAACCAACTTCAGATGTAGAAGGCTGTAGATACCATCACTGGGATGGAATATCTCAGAGACTGTAATTATAATTGCTCTCTTTAACCTTCAAACAGTAACACGGCAGTGCACGCACTGGTATTTCTCGGTAAAAGCCTGATACAATATTGTTTTTTCTTATAGAATAAGGCAACGAGCATAGTTCAACTAATGGTAAGTGAGTACGTTGGCTCATGGACATTTATATTTATGCTAGATTAAGAATCAAAATGCAGATGCGATGTCACCTTCTGATAACTATATTTTTTGTAGAATAAGGGTAATAAAAGTGGACACAGTCTACCTGATGGTAATAGGAAGCTGTGACTCATAGACATATGAGTCAAATATATTTATCTTCGATTAAGAATCAAAATGCAGATGCGTCGTCACCCCTTTTTTTTTAACATGGGGAAATGCCTACGCATACCCGCCTCGCGGGGGCAAGGACGGGTTATGTCGGACTCGCACCGACTAAAACCCCATGGTGTTCCACCTTCGTCGCATATTGGCAGGGCTACGGGAACGCTTTCGCACACATCCGCGGCCCCACCAGCGACTGCCGCCCCATGGCAGCACCTCATCGGGAGAGGAATATTCCTCCCCGTTCTCCTTTCCAAGTAAGGCGCACCAGAACACATGGCACGCCTTCCTCCACGGCCTCCAATTACATCTGCGCAACAGACGCCCCCGCGTCCGATGCGCGCAGGCCATGGGGCCAGGAAAAACGAGCACTTAGAAGTACTAGCCTTCCCGACCCCAGCGGCGGATCTGGTCTATGGCTCCGCCGCCAACCAAGATTCGGCTGCGGAGGATAGGGAGAGCGGCGCCTCGCAATACCGACAATCCTCTCCCCCCGCAGCCCCATCACCACCGCATCAACGGTGCGGCCCCGTTTGAGTCGCGGAGGATAGGGCGAGTGGCGCATCGCCATACCAACACTCCTCTTCCTCCGCGACTCCACCTCGGCTGCAGCGGTAGGTGGGGAGGACACACCTCTCACCGCAGTCCACCAACACACATCCGAAGTGGGCTTCCCAAGCCCACTCGGAGTGGCCACCTCGGGCCGGCCCTCCACCTCGGACCAGCCATATGGGTTCCTCTTTGTTTCGCCGTGGGTGACCAAGCCACGGCTTCTAAGCCCCCCGCCACGACAAGGCGGGAACCCGGCGTCGTCACCCGTGAGGACTAAGATAGAATGCCTCATTTTTAGTAAAAAGGGGTCTCCGGATCTCTACTCTCGCTATACGAAAAATAACAGCTTTTAGCTGATATTTTAGGCCGGTATTCTGTGAAAGCGTAGTCCTACCTCGGTTGCACCGACCCATTCGTGCTACAACTAATATAGTTGCAGCGTGGCTCTACCACGTAAAAAATGTACTAAACTACTCTAAACTAAGATGAAATTTCTCGTTTCCAGTAAAAAGGGTTATCCGTTATCTAGACTCACCATACAAAACACAACAGCATTAAGCTTCTGTTTTATGCTGGTAATCTGTGAGAGCGTTGTCCTTCCCCAGTCGAGCCGACCCATTCGTTGTACAACCATTGTAAAGCTGCAGTGTGGCTATACCACGTGCGAAACGAAATAGTACCAGTTAACTTCCATTTCTTTTTATGGAACTGAGGCATTCCATATTCCATTAATAATATTTGATACCATCGTCATCGTGGTTGGATGGATCCTCGACCAACAACGCGTCGTGCAGCGGCAGCCTCGCATTGGCAGGCAGGTGCAGGCGGCCGCCCGCCGCCCGCGTGGTCAGTAGCAGGTGGTTGCTGAAGAGGAACGCCTGCCGGGCTTGCAACGTTGCACGGCGACCTTTGCCGACTATTTGTGATAGAGTTCCTGTCAACGTATTTTAAGTGGTTATGAATGAATAATTTTTTTAATTGCCCACCTGTTATCCTCAAACTCTGCTGATAGATTCAAATCTAGATCGCCCATAGTCAGATTAAATATTAAAAGTTATAGCCTACTTGAGGGCACAGGTCTTATTTTAGTTTTGAGATGTTTATGGAGCTGTAAATCCGCTGCCCTGTTCCAATTCGTGATGTTGGACTTAAAACTGCAATTGACAGTTTTATTTACAGTAGTGAATTTCTTGTGGTATATTTTTTATTAAATTTAGGCTTGATTAAAGCCCGTCAAAATCTAAAACGGTTCGTAAAATGAAACCACTCAGAGAAGAACGAGTAAGAACCTCTTATGTCACCTTAACCATAAATGATGGCTAAATAATTTTTTTTATTTTATTCATTATTGCATCCTTAAACAAAAGAATACAAAGGGCGGACTTAATGCCTTGAGGCATTCTTTACCAGTCATCATCATTATCATCATCATTACAGCCCTTCACAAGTCCACTGCTGAACATAGGCCTCCCCCAAGTAATGTCACAAAGTTTTACCAGTCTACCCATGGTTAAATAATTCGCAAAAGCCGTTGTCTATGAGGCCCGCCACATACGGAATTCCGTTTCAGGATTCCGTTTCGGCATTCCGAACGCAGTAAGTCCATATAAAATCAAGGACCCGTCACACATCTACGGTAGTTTTCCGTATGGAATTTTATGTATGTAAAGAAAATTACCGTATGTGTGTGGTGAGTCCTTCAATTTATATGGTATTGCTGCATTCGGAATCCTGAATTATAATTCCGAAACGGAATCTCGAAAAATTCGATTGAAATCGAAGAAATTTCATATGTATGTCGGTGGCCTTATAGTGTATGCTTTTCCTGATACTTAAGGGGTTCTTTACGTAGCACCTGTATAGTATATCATATAAGGGAAATCAAGAAAGAACGTATAAGAATTATAGAAGGATATATGATAACTTCCAGGCAAATATGAAAATGTTCTAGAAACGCGTAAGAACTGCCAGGGGAAATTCAAAACAGCCTAGAATTAATGCTATCCGAAACGAGAACGGATTTATTCTAAGTGACGAAGTTTCGAGTTTAAAGAGAAGGCAGAAATATTTTGAAAGCGTGTTTATGAGTGAAGAGTCGTTAGAATTAAATGAACTAGAAATTCCGAAAGAAGTGGAAAGGGACAGTCAGATAAGTGTAGATAAGAAGAAAGAGTGACTAAGAAAATTTATATTGCAGATGTGAACGGTAGAGTCGGGGAAGGACGCCCTAGAAGAAGGTTCATTGACCAAATTAGCGATATTTTGATGTATGCGTAGATATATGGATATAAAAGAGGCAAAAGAGGTGTGTCAGGATCGTGCCAAGTGGAAGTCCGTAATCTCTGCCTACCCCTCTGAGTGACAGGCGTGAGTGTTTATGTATGTATGTATATAATCACTATACATAAAATCAATTGCTGTCCGTTAGACCCGCTACACACATGCGGAATTCCGTTTCGGAACGAACGGGTTGGCCACACACATAGGCGGAATCCCATTTTGTCTGCAAAATTTCGAACGGAAAAATAATGTAGGTGTGTGACGAGTCATTGATTTTATATGGACTTGCTGCGTTCGGAATCCCGAGTCGGAATTCCGAAACGGAAAAGATCACTGGACGTATTAACGATAAATCCTATCGATTACTAAAAATGTACACGTGAAATTCACACAAAACATATGACTAAATCACAATATACTGTTAAAGGTATATTTCTACTTGATCGAAAGTAGATGCTGCGGCGTATAGACACCGTCCATCCTCGATTCAGAATCAAAATGCACATTCGTTGTCAGACCGGGCAAAATTAAATGCCGCGTTACCAGTTAAAAGAGACTTCAGTTCTATACAAACGCTGTATGAATACATGAGCTTTATTCTGCTATTTCAAGCTGTTATTCTGGGCGAGCGAGGTTTACCCCGGTTGAGCCAATCTGGATCTACAATAACGTGGATCTACCGAATAAGGAGATTAAATGTAAGTAGACATTTTTTAAATATTGCGGTTGGCCCCTAACAATTCTAACTAGAACTATTAAGAGCCTATACTACCTTAAATGGCTTAGCATGATCCTCTGTTATGCTGAAAATACTGCAGCATTATGAATTGGTATGCAGTAATATGGTAAAGTTGAGGATTAATGTTAAGTACTATGTTAGACGAAAGCACGATTCCGTAAAATTACCTTGATAGAAAAAAAATCCAAAGTTACCTCCAAACCGAACAATAAGACGCTGGTATTCACAAAATACTTCAAATTAGATCATGAAACTTTGCATACTAACTGAACCAACTATAAAACAGTTTCTATGTTTTTTTTTATAATTACCGTTATTTTCGCCGTAAAAGGAAATTATCTAAACTATCAGCGACCTAAAGCTATTCCCTGCCGCATGATACCCCCGCTTAGTCTCACTTCGGGTTTCGAACAGGAAAGCTATGTACATATACATCACATTACATAATAGGACGACGTAGAATTAAAATGGGAGAAAACCATAATAAAAATGAGAAGCGACTGGATTGGCGTAAAGAAACAGGCAAACATATGATAAACGTAATGATGTATGTATCTACCGACCTATCTACTTACAGTATTAGTGATTACAAACATTTAGGTAGAGAGCATACGACGCGCGGGGAAGTGGGGGCGAAATTTGAATTTGAGCTGAGGTTGTATAGGCTCTTAACAACTTTTGGTTGGCAATACATACTATCCATTATTCAGTTATAACGTCGGAATAAGGTATAATAATTATGTATTAAGCAAGACAGTACCTTGACGTATAAAAACTTGGTTAACATCTAACAGTATATCACAGCCCTCGATGATCATGCGCTCAACTGCTAGATTCTTCCGCAAGTTCTCAGTCTCGCTAACCTAAAAATAATCCAAAAATTGAATTAATAAAATCATTCACTTAATTATAAACTTCCTTTATAGACTCCATGTTTAAGGTTGGCAAACGTAATTTATTGTGTTGTTATCAGAAATCTGTTGTCTGAAGATGCTGTCATCCATTTCCTGTTTTATTTCCCTGGATTTTTCCTTACGACGTCTACGGGAAACATGTTGTAGTGAATTCTCTAATGCCACCACTCATCCATACTATAAGCCTTTTATTAAAAGTGTCAATCCTTGTACATCGTACACTCAGACTAACAAAGAAAGATAGACGTATCATTAATTGTAATCTGTTCGCTAAGATAGTGTCAGTACACCCGGAGGTGAACTTATTATTTTGCTTTTATTTTTTATTTTACTGTTTTAAATAAATGTTTTTCTATTCTAAGAATACTCTTTTATACCTATGGTTATTGTAATAAAATACGAATGTAATCAATAAGCATAAATAAGGTAACAAATAACTTTTCATTACGGCGCTTAGTTTTAAAATGTTAAATCCTCCTGCCAGTGTACGCCGCTCGCGGCGACTTTTAATGTCGCGGCAGCGCCTTTGACAAGATGCGGCACACGCCAATCTTCCATAAATTACTTCACAGGAGGGATATTTATCACAGTTTCCACGCTTGGCATGCAGGTTGGCAACCGCAGTAGTTTTTTATTTTTATCCGCAATAATTGCATTTTATTGCAATTCATTGCATTTCATTGCATCCGCAATGACTTTCTGCATATCATACCAGGTCTTCACTTCATCCAGTAAGGGGCTACACTATACTTCTCTTACCGGTACGAGGCCGCACTCTTTCTTTGTTGTCCATCGGTTATCGGTTCCGGTCCATTTCTATTTCAGCTTAACAATCCGTTGAGCTGTGTCGGTTTCCTCCGATTCTACTGTAGATATCCTAGATGGGTGTCAATGTCATCATCTGTATTTTGATACGCAATTGAGGATATATGTAGATGTATATGGGCCACAGCATCTATTTGCCATCAGGTGGTCTGTGTGTCCGTTTGTCAACCTTATTCTATAAAAAATGTGATCATCGAGCGTCAATTGGAATATACGCAGCGCCCCGTCTACCTCCTTTGGAGCTCTAAGACGGCAGTATAACAGAAAGCGATGTAGATTCATGGACCATAGCATCAATTTATCATCAAGTGGACTGTATGCTCGTTTGTCACCCTTTTTCTATAAAACAAAATGTGATACACGAGTGTCATTTGGAATGTGCAATGAAAGCAGCACTCACCTTTTTGAGAGACGGCAGTAAGTAGAGCGGTATGTGAACGGTCACCTCATCGTGCATCTGACGGGAGAGCTCCTCGAGCTGCGCGCGCGCGTGCTGCAGGCTGCGGCGCTCCACGTGGTCGTACGGCGTGTGCGCGAGCAGCTCGTGCAGAGTGATGATGTACCGCGGGATCTGCACACAAGCTTCTTGGTAACTGGACTCTTCTCATTCATTCATTTTATTAATTTAGCAGCTGTTCCCCGCATGGAATGGCGATTTTATCCGCATGGAATCCATGGATGGGTACCACACAAGCTCACTGAAGAAACTCAATCAATCATGTACACATTTGCGATTCTCTGTTAAAACGTAATAAAACCGAACCATTTTTGAAAAGATTGGTTGGTGGATTTGATGAGATGAGATTGGTGATGAAAAATGGATCACCTACGACAAGAATGTGTGAAAAAGATCATGGTCGAAGAGTAATCAAGTTCCACAGATTGTAAGGATACCCGGATTAACACGCAATTAGGTGATGCTGTGTGTATGGTGAGATTGAAAGGGCATCTTTTATTATGAGTTATTACCGCCGGGCAAAACCATCGATATGAAACTCTACTGCCAACAACTAATGACACTCAAGCAAGAAATTGAGAAAAAAACGGCCTGAATTGATCAAAAGAAAAGGAGTGGTCTTGATATGATAACGCCAGACCACATACATATTTGGCCACTCAGCAAAAATTGAGAGAGCTTGATTGGGAAATTTTAATGCATCTACCGTATATTCCTGAGTCCTGACCTTACAACCTCAGATTTTCACCTGTTTTGGTCACTTTAGAGTTCTTTGGGTAGTGTTAGGTTAAAATCAATAGAGGACTGTTAAAACTAATTATCGCATTTTTTTATCAAAAATCCCAATATTTCTACAGCCACAGGATTATGTCACCACCTACAAGATGGCAACAAGTTTTCGTAAAAATAGCTCATATACTGGTGACCTTTTTTACCGTCTGGAAAAAATAGAGTATAACATGTGAACGGAGTAGAAACCTATGGCACTGATATTTTACAAAAAATAAAAACACAAATTTTGAATTCATTAAATAAATAAATAAATTAAAATCTTACTTTAATATTTTAAGAACGGCAATAAAAAAATAAATTTAATAGGCATCTTTGACTTTGTCACTTCTCAGGGTCACAGGTTCAAGGACAAAGGACAAAGTAATTTTTTTTCAAACGTTTAATTCAATATTTTTGTTTTTATTTTTGTAAAATAATCAGTGCCATAGGCTTCTACTCCGTTTACATGTTAGTCCCTATTTGTTTAAGACGGTAAAAAAGGTCTTCCAGTATATTACAGTTAAATGTAATTAAAATTTGAAGAAAAAATGTCTTGAATTTGTATATAAAATACGAAGAAACTTTTCCCCGAAGTTATAGTAAGGTTGGCAGATAGGTAGGTAGGTAGGTAGGTAGATAACCTAAGTTATACTATCTGACGCTTTTTAAATATTTTTCGGCGAGGACTAATTTTATCTTATTCCGAAGAAGAGGTAACGCATCTTATTTAGAAGTACAGGCTACAGCTTGATCACTTCGATCAGATTAACTGTTCGTTCGACACTATATAAAAATGTTTTATTATTCAGAACTATTGGTTCTCCCATCTTACCTGGTGCATAGGGTACGTTAGGAATGTCTCCAACGATCGGCTCTGACAGGCGGGCTTACTCTCCAGCCTTGCTAGAAGATGCGCGAATGGCTGACTCTGCTTGCACTCCGTCAAGACTTGCAGCGAATAATGGTGGTTACGTACGTACTCTTGGTAGATGGTCAACATCGGCAGCAGCATGTCGAATAGGTCTCCTGTATCCAAACAACTACTAAGTATTTTTTTATATCATTATCATTAGGTATTACATTAACATAAGTTTAGGTATTATATGTATATAGTATGAAATACAGTTTATTCATTACTTTGATAGTAATCTTACCTAGCACTAGCGTCGGCCAGGACTCCATTCTTGATGTCAGACCTTTGAAGAAGATCTGATGTAGGAATAGAACTGTTTCACTATTCAGGAATATTGAATTCACATCCTCGTGAGTGCATGGTGGCTTTTTTGAGCTGGCTGCCATTTTGAACGGCCGAAGAAAACATGTCACCTTTGAAAAAACAATTGGTTATATTTTTTGTCTATAAGGAAAGGAAAGAAAGAGCAAGGAAAATACCATTTCATCAATTGGCAATCTCCTAGATCTAGCAAAAGCTTTCGATATAGTTTATAATCCCATCTTAGTAAATAAACTAGAGTACATAGATATTCGAGGTAAGCAGCTTTTACTTTTTCGAAATATTTAAAATACAGATGCCAATGTTTAAAAATCGATAAATCTATGAACAAAAAATAATCGTTTTAGGGTGTCCCAAGGTAATGCATTAGGGCTAACCATATTTTTGATATATCAATGACCTCTGCAATCTCAAACTTAACTCAGGTAAAATAATATCTTATGCTAATCATACCATGTTCCTATTTTCCAAAAATACAGTAAACAAGATTTATTTAGGTGCAAAATAAGTTATTGATAGTGTAAATAGGTGGTTATAACATTGAGTATTAACATTGAGTACGGATAAAACCAAATATATTACTTTCTCTATGTACAGTCTATAAGAATTCCAAAAATTGTTCGAAAAATGTTGCTCATTTGCAAAGTCTAAATGTAATTTCCCAGTTATTTTAAATACATAGACTATTAAATATTTTGGAATAAATATAGATTCTATCTTTACATTTGAAAACAACATAGGCCATCTGTGAAGTAAAGTTCGTAAACTAATGTTAAGATAAAAAATAAAAATATATTTTTCTTTGAACTTACTCTAAATTAATTGCATGAAATACAAATGGGGATGTGCTCTTCAATCCTGAATTGTAAGACACATCGCCCTCATTGTATTTGCATTTAATTTAGGCGGAAGGTGCAAAGAAATTTATCTTTTTTATTATAATGGATTTCCGCAAAGTAACGCCTGATTCTATCAATTAATGTTAGGATGTTGAATGAAAAAACCAAAAACTTGCTGATTGTTTTAAGTTAATTTATGTATATTTTAACGGAATTAATTCTAGTTACTTTGAAGTTATCCTAATCCTAGTTCAGGTATCTACATTTATTTTAATTAATTGTACAGTTTATTAAAATAAAAGTTAAATTATTAGAATAAATAAGATTAAAATAAATTAGAAGAAAATATATTTACCAGTTTAACAACTATCATCAAAATAAGGCAGATATTATTTGCAACTTATCAAATGGTGCACTTACTAATATTTCCATTTGCTCCAGATATTCCTCTTCGGCTTCTACCATTTTAAAAACTAAGCTGAAATAAAAGCAAATATTATAGCTGCCTGTATACCATTACGAATGAATATATTATCTCTTTTTTGAGAGCCGTGGTAGCTCAGATGGTTGACGCTTGCTGTAAATATACGCGAGTAGTATAACGCGAGTAACCCGGGTTCGATCCCCGCCGGCACCAATGAAATTGTTAATTGCAATTTTAAGTACTGATTTACCACGTGCTCGGCGGTGAAGGAAAACATCGTGACGAAACCGGCATGTCTTAGGAATAAGAAAAAAAAATTTCGAAGACATGTGAAGTTCGCCAACACGCATTGGGGCTGCGCGGCGGACACTTCCTTGTCCTAAAAATCCTCCAGAAATGAGGGGAGGCCCTTGCCCAGCAGTGGGACGTATATAGGCTGTAACTTTTATATTATCTGTTTTAAACATTATATTGCAAAGGTTTAGTTAAAGCAACAAGCGATTGTTCATGCATTGATTACTGTCTATCAAATATATATTTGTTTTCTTGTTTTATAGCATAAATGTGACAAACGAGCTCACAATCCACCACCATGTGGTATACCAGACGAGAAGATGTGTCGTAATTTCCCGAATTTTCCCAGCCGAGTTGAATACGTCGATTGACCTCTCTGTCGAAGTTGGACTTACCTAGTCGGGCTATTTGTCCTCCAGGTAAACGTAGTCGTCAACAACCTCGAGCTTAGTGCTCCCAACAAGCCAACAACTACCGACGTAGGAGTGACATGGACATTAAACATGATGTTTGTTTTGTCCATGTTCTTTTTTTACAGGATAGGGTGATAAACGAGCACAGTCCACCTGATGGTAAGTGGTTGCTGCGGCCCATAGACATCTACATCTATCCTCAATTATAAATCAAAATGCAGATGCATTGTCACCCGTGAGGACTAAGATGTAATTCTTCGTTTCAAGTAAAAAGGGTCTTCGTTTCTTTACGCTTACCATACGAAACACAGTAGTTAAGCTGCTATTTTACGCTGGTATTCTGTGAGAGCGTGGTCTTTCCCCGGTCGAATCTTTGTTTCTCTCATAATTCACCTCATAGAGGAGATAAATGCCATAGTTGCCATTTTTAGCAGATTGTTTGTAAACCACAATTACTTTTATTAATTTCAGTTGATATCAGGATGATGTTCATGCGTATGTACGGTGTATGTATGTACATGGAGGATTATTTTACGCCGGCATTACACGGCTACGAATAACTAAATAATTGATACTTGTTTTTACCTATTTCTTTTTCTCATACTTTCTGCATGTGGGCTCTTTATGTACTGATCTACGATCTGTTTCCACCGACGTCGGCACAGCCAGCCACGGAAAAAGCTCTAAACAAAAAAAATAAGTTCATATACTTAGTAATAAAATTCTTTAAAGAGGAATAGATATTAAGCTTATTACTGGTAATAATAATTAATGTCCTCCAGACCGAATTTCAGTTACGGCGGCCTGCCTCAACCGAGACGAGCAATCGGCGCAGGACAGGATTAAAGTGTCCAAGTGTATGCACATAAATTATTATTATTATTATTATTCTCACAGTCCGATGGGACGGTAAACCAACATAACGGGAGAAAGTTCAGGCGCAGGACCAACGGTTTCACGTGCTTTCCGAGTCACTGGGGTGAGACACTGCAAACATTCTGACTCCGGGCAACTGCCGAGAGCTTCTTGACGGAAAAAATCGATAAATAATATTTTTTGGCCCGATATGAGATTCGAACCCGGGAACTCACGATCAGCAGTCTTACTACTACAACCACTAGACCAATGAGGCAGTGCATTTGGCTTTACTATCACTATCACTACAGTGCATCACAAGTACCCTGCTGAACATAGACCTTCATCATAGATTGCAATAAAGTACGATCCCGAGCCACCTGCATCCATCCACTACGTGTGTGTTTCATCAGATTATCACTCGATCTAATGGGGAGTTACACAATACAGTACGAGGCTTTCAATCGAAAACCTTTCCATCCTATCGATTCTTCGAGCTATAGGACCAGCCCATTGCCACTTCAGCTTACTGACCCGCTGAGTTGTTTCAGTTATTCATGTTCTACTGCGGATATTTTCGTTAAGGATTTCATCCAGTAGAGAAATTGCGAGCATACCCCTTTCCATCGCACTCCGAGTGGTTTTGAGCTTCCACATACGACCAGCAGTAAAAGATCATGTTTCGCAAGTTAAAACCATTGTAAATTGTCAAAATGCATCGAAAGAACTAAATTAATTTTGTAATGAGTTTTCGAGTAAAAGTGTTTTCTTTCTTTTGTTTAGTATTTCTATATTCTTTATTGTAATCGCCTTAGTTCTAACAATAGGCGGACTTCGTTGTGTCATGATCTCATCACACAAGAATCACGATCACAACGAAGTCCGCCGAAGAATCTTGTGAGAATAAAAATGGAGTATTTAGGTACAGATTTTAAATAAAAGAAAAGGAAAATGTAAAATATATCCATTCAAACATAAATCCTTACATACATACAGAATTTCTTAAAGATATTTTTCAAATGAAAGTGCTTTACACTCACTTGAACTTTTTTAATTTTTCGGAGTTCAACCGGATCAATTTCCTCGGAGTCAGTTGGAGACAGGCTAGTGGTAGATGCCGCCCGTGTTGACGGCTCGTGCTCCTTCTTGTACGTACACAGCTAAATAGGACAACATAAAGTCTTCTTGACAAAAATCTTTTAAACATAACTGGGCTTTTAAGTGGTTACAAATATTATTATTATTATTGGGGTATTTATAGAGTAATCTCATCTGGTTGAGCTGAATGAATATGTAAAAGAAAACGTTAAATATACATAAATAATATGTAGTTTATACTAACATTAATAAATAAATAATAGATAAATATAGAAAGGCCCAACCAGATGGGAGCCTTCAGCAGGGGAGACCAAACGGCCGAGGGTTAGGGGGAAAGGGAAAGAAAACGGCGGATGACGCGGGCGGTATCGTGAAGCACCACCTTCTGCATTTGAGCCCGGAGTTGTCCGTTATGGAGTCCCAGTCGCCTCAGATAACCAGAGAGGCTGACCAGGATTAGTCGGTCACCTCGTGAGCCAGGTCCAGATATTTTATTTTCTTATATGCTTCGGCTTTCATGAGGTTCTCGTCATACGGAAAGGTAATGTTTACCAAAAATATCCTTGACTGTGCCCAGTCCACCAACATAATATCAGACTTATTCGCAAGAACAGTCCTATCGGTTATGATGGCCTGATCCCACTAGAGCCTGGTGCAGTGCAGTCATTTCCGAGCACGGCTTCCGACAAGTACTTGTAATAAGGCAATTTTCGATCCACGCGACCGTTTTCAGGGCGAGCCCCTGGTAAAGAATCCTGGCCTCCTGACTAAATGACTCACCGGGATGGCGCCAAGCTCCATCCATTAGGATGTATCTCCGATAGATGTTGGTATTAATAAGCCAATCCTGTATCGCACGGCTTTTGTAACCACGGGTTTTGTGCGAAATGGGGGGGGGGGTGTTCTCTTACACCGCCATCTCACGGTACTTCTATTACGGTATTATTATTTTTGTTACAAACCTCTGTCCTCAGTTTCTTCACTTCACTACTCAGTTCATCGCACTGTTGCGCATACTGCCAGCGCGAGGTGCGCTCACTTTCTACTACTTGCAGCAGATGCAGTTGCTTCTGCTCCAACTCCTCCTTCTGCAAGAGTACCTTGTTGAAACTGAAAAAAAATTAAATTATTATTATTTTGGTATAAGAATTTTATTATGAAATTATTAATTTAATACTGTCTTAATAGTAGCACAGAATAAATAATAGTACTACGTTCAGAAGTTGCACTCCCTTGATGTCAACTGCTTGTCGACGTTTAATAGCCTACATAATTATTATTAATCAGATAAATCGCGCACGCAAGCTAAATAAAACTTTATCGCTGCGCATTAGTGTCCATATTACTTTACATCTTTTCCGCTTCCTAATTCACGGCGAACTTTCCGTGGTTATTAAGGGATGTCAATAGAAAGTAAAAAAATACATTGCAAAATGTTAATTATGTTAATTAGGTGACTTAACTATTCTGACTATGATCGATTAACCATACTTTCGCCCCTATGTGAGTATTGCGATGCCTAACGCATGCAAATTGCAAGGTCATTCTTCAGGAATCGCAACGCTTGGTTCGGAAGAAATAGGTAGATAGTGTGAACAATAAATAAACCTGAAATACGATTCCTAACAGAAATGTGATCTATTCTACTTACTTAAAATCTTTTTAGTATACAAAGTTTTAATTTCAGTATTTTGTGTTATTATAACTTAAAATATTTTAACTACAAAATACAAGTATAGGTATGTACCTATGTAAGTAAATGGATAGTGAAGTAATTTTTGTAATAAAGTACTTTTGTAATAAAGTATTTCTTCTGTAGACCAAATTATTACTTAATTCTTTTTTGCTGTAAGTACCTATCTAACAAAAAAATTAAATAAATTCATCTTTCATAACTTCCTTCTAAAATTCTTCGGTAACTTAAATCATGATATGAAACCTTTTAGTGGTCATTTCATTTAGTATCCATCCACGCAACAGTTATAGTAGGAACGACGTTTTGCTATTATAATTTATCAAATAGGTAATATACATAATATATAATTTTTAAAATACATTAAAACTTTTACAACTATTTTTACCTACAGTTAAATATACTAAACACTAAACAAAAACTATTTCAACAAGTGTTTACATAAAACTATTTTTTGTTAAAAACAACCTGACTGCGTTATTTCGCCCGGGCGCGTCGCGATTTTAGGTAATTATTTCACGCAGGTAGCAAGAGTGACAGAGGCCTGATAGTAGTAATAAACCAATTATCTCAAGGTCACTCGAAGAGCTATAGTATGTGCCAAATCGATTGAGAAAAACGGATAATGACCTTTCGGTCGTTTAACCCTTTTACAAACCCTCAATATATAGGCAGATTTTATATGTAGTACTTTCTTTACATATAATGATTTTTTTATATTTTTTATAATGATTGATACAATATATATTTATTAACTATTATTAAAAAGTTATGTAAGAGATCGCTGTAGAAGAAAAATCATCTATTGTTATAAAGTACTTTATTCATTTAACAACAAAAAGCATTAATTTATAACATATATATTCAAATTAGAGTGATAATGGCACCGAATAAGTACGTACTTATTCAAAAGATAAAACTTTATTTTTAATATTATATAAGAACTTTATTTTTATTCGGTGCATGCGGACCGGCCCAAGAAAGGTGACTCATCTCTGGCTGTCATTGTCACATTTCTTTCAGAATGAAATGACGTAACGCGCGTTTTGTTTATTTTAAAGGGATGAATTTGCAAAAGCTCAATATGATTATATCGCTTCAAATATTTTTGTAAATATGAAACTGTTATTAACTGAATTGCTGCTTTACTTACCATAAATTGAAATATAAAATATAACACATTTTTCGCGATGTACCGTAAGATTTTACGATGTTTATAGGAACTACAGATAATATTATTTAAGAAACAAAAAACAAAACACATGTGTTAACCTAGAAGTGTGAATAATATCAATATTTAAATATTATTATCACATCTAAATTTAGATTTTGTAAGTTACGCCTTTTGACACTCGGCTCATATCTTAGGTCATTGTACGTTTTTCTCAATCGATTTGGCACATACTATAGGTGTGGACTACGTCTAAAGTTTCGCTGCGTAACGAACCTTATATTTACGCGAGAAAATGCCTATGCATACCCGCCTCGCAGGGGCAAGGATAGGTTTCATCGGAATTGTACCGACCAAAAGCCCATAGTGACGGCAGGGTCACGGGAACGCTTTCATACACATGATATCCGTTGGAATATGGACCATGGATACTTAACAGTTCTGATTTTACTAGATTTCAGCAGTGCGTTCAATTCTGTTGATTTTGTTATCCTTATAAGTATCCTTAAGACGGTTAATGTGTCAAGATCTGTTGTTCAATGGTTTGACTCCTATCTTCGTGATCGGTCACAATGTGTTCGTTCAGGTGAAATATACTTCCAATGGTATAATGTAACTGCGGGTGTACCTCAAGATAGAGTCCTCTCTCCTCTGCTTTTTGCCATTTTTATTAATTTTATCACCAAGGTCATATCAGCTAATTACCACCTTTATAATAATTTTGTGCCATCTGAAGCCAACTTGGCAATTGAAACTATGAATGACGACTTAAATAAGATTAGCAAATGCCTTGATAATAGGCAAAAGATATGCGTGTTACCTGGCATGGACTTTTTACTAACCCATAGACGCATTTTTGATATAGAGCCATCTAGTATAACATTCATAAACCTTTTCGTAACATTCTATAGATCAAAAGTCGTTTAAAGTTTAGAAGTCAGAGAGGCCGCTCTAGTCGCCCTAACGTTCAACCGGAAAAATTTTAGGCGACTATGGTCACTCGGACGTTACAGTAGCTAACAAAACTGTGTACACAAAACTTTGATTAAGAGAGAAGGTCTTTAGTTGAATATGTTATCTGTCACTGCATATTTTTATTATTTTGTATTTTTATTATTTTGAACTATGATCAGGAAGACGCTGCTGCCTATCTTATGATCTTATGTAGGTTTCGACTCCTATTCATGAATTAAGTTGTTCTCACACGTTAACCGTGAATAGAACTACATTTATGAAATTTTGAAGTCTACTTGAGCGCAAAAAATACTGGCATGTGGTCCTAATCATTATTCAATGGGACCAATATTAATAAAGACCATGAAATTAAACCTTATTTTATCAAAACTATATCAACTTTAATAATGAATATTATGTAAATAACGCATTTCCGATTCCAAGACAATTTTCTCTTCATAAAGACACATCGGAAGACGTGCCCGATATGAAAATGTGTTGCTTTACGTATTATATTTATGCGATTCTGACAAACTAACTTATGTGTTTCTGTAGCCTAAATTATTGCCAATATACATAGATTCACATACAAACGCTGCTAATTTTAGTACGAAATAGTATTATCAATGTTTCTTAATTCAAGCGAGCGAAGCCGCGGGAAAAAAGCTAGTGTATAAATAAAATTGAAGTTTCTGCCTGTAACATAGAATAAAATGGCTTCTATTGAACTTTGGTAAAGTAAATTAACGTTTTTAAAACGTTTGTGTGTCTGTTTGCCTGTCTGTCCGACCACAGCTTCGGAATGTCAAAACCTTTTGTGATGAAACTTTTCTAACAAAAACCGAGAATCTTACAAGAATGTTTTAATACGAAAAATGGATAAAATAAATTGTCTTTGATTAACGTTAATTTAAATAACGCTGCTTTAGTAGACCCTATCCAGGAGAAGCTGGGCGGGACGCTAGTACAATATAAAAATAGCATACACCTGAAAACAGGAAGCAGCCGGAACTGGGTCAAGGTTGGCCTTTAATCCCTCACGGAGAGTAATAGCAGGAAATATCTAATCAGATAGAATTTCTAACGGTGTTTGTAAATTGAGATCCTATGTATTTAAATGTAGCTTTGATATCTTTTCCAATAAGTTTAAACCGAATTTCGTATATTCCAGATCCAAAATCCGTTTACAAAAGTTTTTTTATAGAATAAGGGTGACAAGCGAACACACAGCAGCGAGCCCACCTGATGGTAAATAGATGCTGTGGTCCATATATATCTACATCTACCCTCGATTTAGAATCAAATGCAGATGCGTAGTCACCCGTGAGGACTAATATGGAATGCCTCGTATCCAGTAAAAAGGGTCTCCACACTCGCCATAACTCAGCAGCATCGAGCTGAGATTTTACGCTGGTATTCTGTGAGAGAGTGACCTTGTCCCGGTCGAGCCGATCCATTCGTTACAGCTACACAGTTACTCAGGCTACAGCAGCCCTTGAACCGGCAGCTAACTTCAAAGAACTTAGGCTACAGATGCTTTGTCGTCTCTGAGTACTACGATGGAATGATCTGTAATTATACTGGCTCTCTTTGACCTTGCTTCGGCGGTACATATACTAAAATTGAAACGATACAGAGAAGATTAGCATGGCCCCTGCGCAAGGATGACACGCAAAATCGTGAAGCGTTCCACATTTTTTAGGCTCAGAAGGGCTAGAACCCAGAGCCGTAATGCCAGTTAATAAAAAAATCTTTGACCTTCAGAACGGAACACGGCAGTGCACGCATTACTATTTAGCCACAGAAATGGGTAAGAGGCTGGTACCTACCCAGACGAGTTTTTAAGCATAAAAACAATCCTATCACTTAATAAAAGTAGTATTTTTTTATAGGATAGGGTGACAAACGAGTACACAGTCAACCTGATGGTAAGTGGTTGCTGTGGCTTATAGACATCCACATCTATTCTCATTTGCTAATCAAAATGCAGATACGTTGTCACCCGTGAGGACTAAGATGGAATGCCTCGTTTTCAGTAAAAAGGGTCTCCGGTTCTCTACACTCACTATACGAAACACAGCAGCATTAAGCTACTATTTTATTTTATTAAGCAACAGTAGCCTACTGGCAGGGCGCGGACCGCGAACTCAAAAAGGTTGTTGGTTCGAATCCGCCATTCGACTACTGGCGTGAACCACTCGTAGCCAGCACACAACAATTTAAGCTTACCACGAGTGGTTAAGGGATTCCCCTTAACCAATTTAATGTTTATAACATTGTTTTTTTTTTAAT